TTTCCCATTAATCCGAAACGAAAATTTGACCGTCGATATGCATTGCCGTATCAACCGACGGAATTGCGAAGAGAAACCTTTTTTAAGGAGCATCAAATCCAAAAAATCCCATTCGACTCTATCATACGCTTTACTCATATCTAATTTAAGAGCCATCCAATGGGATTTACCTTTACGTTTTTTGGACATAGAATGAAGCATTTCAAACGCGAGGATTGCATTATCCATAATAAGCCTATCTGGGACGAAAACACTTTGATTCACTGATATAATAGGGTTCATGACCTTCTTTAGTCTCGACGCCACCGCTTTTGAAATAACTTTATAGAGAACCGAACATAAGCTTATGGGCCGAAAATCTGCGATCATAACAGGATTTTTCTTCTTCGGAATCAAAACGATAATTGTATCATTAATACCCTCCAGAGATCCGCCATGATTGAGTATTTCGAGACATACTGGAAGAAGATCTGACTTAATAAGCTCCCAATGAGTTTGGTAAAAGATTGCGTGGAACCCGTCGACTCCTGGAGCTTTATAAGGGCCAATGCTTTTTAATGCAGCAAGAACTTCCTCTTCCGTATAAGGATTATCGAGCCAAGATGCCTCCTCCGAGGAAATACACCCTCCCACCTTGTCAGTCATCTCTGAAATCTGCTCAAAAGTCGGACGGGAGCTGGAAAAGAGATTTTCAAAAAATGAGGTAACAAGCTCCCCAATCTGTTGCTCGCTTTGTATCCATTCTCCTTGTTCGTTTTTAAGCTTATCGATTCGATTAGCCCTAAATCTAGCTTTAGCCCGAGAATGGAAAAATCTAGTGTTGCGATCTCCTTCCTTAAGCCAATCGATACGCGCCCTCTGTTTCCAGAAACTCTCCTCTCGACATTGGAGTCTCTGAATCTCTATCTCTAGTTCTTTAATCGTTTTCATTAAATTTGGAGAATCTGGAGACTCATAAAGTTGTTGAAGTTGCTTCTCCTTCTTCTCCAAAATTTGCTTCCATCCCGAAAATGACTTTTTGCTCCACTCCTGCAGCCCTTTTCTACAATCGGACAGGCTCGAGAAAAACTTGCATTTGTTACGATGACGAAAATGTGAAGACGAGCCTCTCGACCAACTCTCTCGAACAACTTCCATTGTTGTTTTCTTAGCATAGAGACTTACCATAGAATGTGATTGTTAGTGCATAGCGTATCTAAAAAAATATTTATTTCAAATTAATAACTCAATCATACGTTATATTTAAATTATATGATTGCCTAGTATGAAAACTATCTTATTATATTTAATTTATTTATCGTCAAACCAAATATTGAGTATGTATTTCAAAAATTGAAAATATTATATCTGCCAAAAAAAAGGATTATTTATCCTATAAGTTGACTTTTTAATCATAATGTTTTAACACTACAACAATTTTTTACAATTTAGGTGTTTCTAGACATATTTTCAAGAATAGTTTTGAAATGGACTGGTTAAATCACACAGTCAATTCAGTGTTCATATTTATCTTACTACAATAATTTATTACAATTTTGAAAGAATTCAACAAAATTCATATGGATTGTTTAAATTAATTTAGCGCAAATTTTAGAAAATCGCGACTACACAATCGTGTGAAAAAAGTTATATATACAATACAATAAAATTTGATTTGTTGTAAAAAATTCGAAATCGATTGCTGGGGTTGTAAGTGATATTTGTTTTATATGTATATAATTTTATAATTTATAACTAACATTTACCATTTTTGACAGATTTGGTGTAAAATGCGGGTACCATTTTAAATCATTATCACTTTGTTAGTTATTTATTATTATGTATTCATTGTAATAATTTCACAATATAAATATAAATTATTTCACTTATTTTTAATTAAAAAATATTGATATCTATACTTATATAAAAAGTCATCGCATTTACTAGAATTAATAGGAAGAAAAGTCAACTCATAATTAATTGCACATCATATTTAGAAAGTTTTTAGATTGTTTAAATCATAAAATAGGATAACATTAGATGTCCTTAAAATTATAGGTTTTGTTGAATTCATTTTTAATAAAATCTGCATCCAAATTTACGTGTGGTTTTGAAGTGATAATTTGAAATTTAAAATATCTTCTCATTTTAGTTACAATAAAATTGGGTTGCATTAACACTTGGACCAATTTAAAAATTATTCCTTCAATGAAGGAATTTATAGATAATTGTTATCTCTATCCAATCACATGATTATTTTCAATATAAAAAAAGACAGATTACAAATTAGTGAATCATATAATACGTAATTCAATATCTTAACATCAAGGAATAAATTCATAGTATTATGTAAATGTGTATCTCATATTATTATATCATTAAGAATATATTATAGTTATATTATCAAATCATAAAAAGATATTAAATCTATATTATAAAAAAAATAATTTAATTTTATAACATTTCTACTACACTATATAATAGTATTCTTTTTATTATATAATAAAATAATAATTAAATTATATGCTGAACAAGAATAAGTAAAGATGTTACTTTCTCTTATATCAATGGATAAATTTATATGCTAAAATTAAATTTTAATTAGTATAAATATTTTAGTGAGATATATATTAATTACTTTTACAAGCTAGCCCTAACATTCTCATATTTAATGTTATGGCTAAAAAAAAAACACTGGTTAAAAGATGTGGAAAAAACTTATAACCCTATTGTTTTTCTTAGACTTAACTTTGATTAAAAGAGGTAGAAAATAGATAATAACCCTATTACTTTTTTTTTTTTTTTACTTAAACGGACAAGGCCGTGAAAATAACTAATTTAATATCTTTGTCTCGTGCATCGCACGGGGTACGTACTAGTATTTAAGTATTTGTTATCCGTGTAATACACGAATATTATACCAGTTTGAAATAAATAGAAGGAAATATGATGCAAAATAAAAAGGGGATATCAGTTA